GAGGCTGAGGCCGGCCCCACAGGCAGCACTCTCTGCCATCCTGGGCTGCCCAGGCCCCTCTCCTCACCTGCAGCCCAGGGGCCTGGGGTGACCCATGTGGAAACACAATGCCCAGCCTCGCCACCAGGGGGCGGCAGGCTCCCCACTCATCCAGGGAGGTCACCCCAGAGGAACAGGGGTCAGCAGTGACCCCCCGGGGCAGCGACAGGGAAAACACATGGGTGTTGAGCACAGGGCAGAGAAGGTAGAAATGACATCCAAGCAGCAGCTATGGAAACAACGCCACCAGGACAAGCCAGGTGACCACACATCACGCCTGGCCACCCTCTGTCCACCCACGATGCCATAGGAGAGGGATTTCCTCGCAGGCCTCGGTCACGGCCCCTGGCTGCCTCCTATTAACCAGCTGCCAGGGGTGCCAACGTGCCGAGGTGGGGTGCGTGGGGGGGCCTGGGTGCAGACACCTGTGCCGCCTGGCTGTTTCCCAGGGGGTCTCCGGCACACTCAGGTACCTCCTGCCAGGCTGCCCCTCCACAGACCCCCATCCCAGAGCCCCCAGGATCCTCTCACAGGCTCAGGTCCCCCCTCTGTGCCAAGAGCACAGCTCCCTCCAGGGCTCCCTCCTCTCTGGCCCCCACTCCCCATCCCTGGACCAAGACCACACCTTCGGTCTCCTCTTCTCCACGACTCTTCCCACTCCACTACTGTCCCCCACAGTCTAGGCCTGGTCACTCGCCTCTACTCAGCGTCCTCACCTTGGGAAGGGTCATGTCAAGGTCATCCCTGCTCTGTTTAGGCTCAGCTAGGCTCAGCCAGGGAGGACGTCTGGGATTACAATGGCCATGCATTTGGGAAAGCAGGGGACTGGCTGGGGAGAATGGTGGTCACACTGTCCCCAGCAGCAGGATGGTTAAGACTGGTTCCCTGGGGGTCTGGGGGATAAGCTAGAGAGCTCAGTCTCCACTTCTCTACTGTCAGGAGAGCGTGCTGACCCCCAAGCCTCTCCCTGCCCCCACAGCCCAAGGGAGGCATCATGGTCCAGCCACACCCATTCTGGGGGAAGGCGGAGGATGAGCAATGCCCCAGCAGGCCTTTCTTCCCCTTGTCATCCTGTCTGGTGAACTGGCTGCCTGCTCCCGCCCCTGCCCCATGTGGATTTCGGGTGGGTGCTTCACTGCAGCTAAGCTTCCATGGCTGCCCCCCCGCCCTCCCACCCGGTTCCCTTACTAGGCCCCTGGGCCTCACACTGGCCTCTTCCCACAGTTCCTGTCCTTCCAGGACAAGGCCACACCCAGCCCTGCCCCATGCCACTCACAAGGGCGCCTTCCCAGCCCTGACCCCAGTTCCTCTCCCTCTTGCCAGGGGACCAGCACCTGCACGCGCAGGGCCATGAGCCGGCCACAGATCACAGGGTCTGTCGTGGGATAGCTGCCGGGACTCAGGGCCCTGCTTACACCAAAGCAACACGGGCAGCAGGGGCAGCGTCCTCCCGTGAGAGAGCCCCCTGCCGAAAAGCAGCCAGTCCAGCAACTCAGCAGAGGAACAACTTCTTCCCCAGAGGAAGCCTGTGCCGTGATGCCACTGTCAACCACCGTCTCCCCCAGCTCCAGCGCCTGGGTCTCAGGGTCTGCTTGGATCCACTGGGGGGCGGGGGGTGTCTTACTGCTGGCACCCTTGCTGTGGACAGAGGCAGGGTGCCGTTCTCAGGGGCGTCTGTCTCTCCTGAGCAGTTTGATGGGGCAACCAATGCTGGGCACACCTGAGCCAAGCCAGGAGAGAGAGGACACTGGGAACCTCAGGAAGAGGTTGAGGAAGGGGAAGGCTGCGTTTGTCTGAGAACGAGGGTGAGCAGGTTTGGAGCTAGGGGTGGGAATGGCAAAATGCTAAGGGCCCCTCCTAGACAGGCTGTAAAACGAGGACTGGGCCCCTGAAGGCCTGCGCCGGCATCAGGACCAGTGATGAGTACACAGAGGGCAGCAGTGTGGCTTGGTATGGCCCAGCAGAGGGTGAGGCACATGGCGAGACCAAGTCGCTGAACAAGGACCAGGGCATGGGGGCCCAACCAGGGATGGGAAGGAACCCACCAGGGATCCAACCAGCATGGCCCAAGACCCACCCACCCTGGTGATCACCCCGATGAGAGAGGGTCATGGATCCGAGGACAGAGGCACAGGCCAGGCCTAGACACTTGAGGATGGACCATCTTGGGAAGCCCCTGGGTCAGCCAGGCAATCGATGTCAAAGGGGGAAAGGGCACCCCTGGGTGGGCCCCAGGATGGCTGGGCCAGTCCCTGAAGAGAGGGAGAGGGAGATGGGATGAGGGCTCTACTCAGACCCCCACAGGGGTGTGTGTGTGTTCCTGCCTGGGGCTTTGTTGCTCCCCACTCCCAGTATCCAGTGGGCACTCGATGAGTGGAAGAGAGGATACGTGGTGCCAGCAGAGACCCCTGGCGAGAGTGAACCAATGGTGAGGGTGAGCAGTGAGGGCCCCACCAAGGAAGTACAGGCCCCAGAGGAGCCCAGGTGGACCAGGCTGGTGGGGAGGGGCCCTGACACCAGATGAGCAAGGGCGGTCAGCAGGCCCCACCTCCTGACCTGCCATCAGCCTCCTTCCCACATCTTGCCTGTGAAGTGGAAGGGAGACCGTACTAGCTCAGACACACCCCACTTTGTACAGCAGCCCCATCCAGCCTCTTTGACAGAGATGGGCTGGAAAAAAAAAAAAGAAGAAAATGGACCGTGTGAAAGGTGAGACCAGGGAGGAAGGTGGGGGGCGCTGATGTTGGTCTTGACTGGGAGCTGGCCTGGCCTCTACCCGGAGCACCTGCTGGGCAATCCAGCTGGATCTGGCTCCGTGCCTGACCAGCAGCTGCAGGGCTGCTCTGCGTCTGCTCTTTGCAATGCCTGCCCCACAGCGGGCACAGGGAAGCCCCGAGCCAAGGTGTGCGCCTATTCCGCACAGCTTCTTGGCATGCTTTCCTCAGGGTTTTTACAGACCAAGTCCCATAAGAGAGGACAGAGCAGAGGCAGCCCCTGAAGGTAGCTGTGGGATTCCCGAGTGGGCATGGCACATTCAGAGGACAGTGCAGGACTCAGCCAGGGAACAGGAAGAGCTAGGGTGGAGCTGCAAGTTCAAGAGTGGGAGGCAAGCAAGATGAATCGAAAGGATCGTCATCTCCCAAAGTTCCCAGGACACCATCCTGCTGCCCAGTAATTCAGGGCAGGCCTAAGAGGAACGCCAGAATCGGCCAGAGGCACCCAGTGCCAAAGCATGCTCCAGTGGGAGCCTGCTGAAAGCTCGCGTCAAGAGCCGCTTGCCACAGAGAGCACTGGAAGGGTATGGGACCCACAGGGAGCAAGAGAGGCCATGTACTGGCCACAGTAACCACACAGAGGTGTCTGCTCACTTCCAGAGTGAGACCTGCAGCCCCTGCCTTCCTGGAAGGAACTATAGGTGCACTGGAAAACCTGGCCCTTCAAGAATGACCTCATGCCATGCAAGACTAGCTGGCATGGCAGCCTTGGGCAGAGCTGGGAGGCGCTCACTAAGCCACAGGCCCAAGCATTTCCCGACAATTTGTACACCCCAGATCTCTCCCAGGCCTGTCTCTGTCCACCCCAGTACACACTAATAGCGTCTCCAAGTGTCTTTTTTGAAAAAAGCACAGAACAGGTGCTCATGAAGAGCTCACGGAATTACAGCATCATCTTGGCTCCCCTAACATAAATGTCTACCTGAAAAAAAAAAAAAAAGGAAACAACACAACTAAAGAAACCCACTCCTCAACAATGCCGTTTCTGCGTCACTTTTAGGAAGAAGAGAGTCAGATTCCCTGGCAGATGTCACCAGCCCAAGCTTTCCATGAACAAACCAGAGGAATTTCACAACACTGGAAGCAAACATATCTCAAAGCAAACCAAGAGTTCCAACTAGGTGCTTCCAGCCAGCATCTGGCATTAGGGGGACGATGGGGGAAATCTCCACGGTGCCCTCTGATCCCCTCCAGGGCTTCCAAATCTGGACAGAGTCAGAAACATCCCCACCTCCACTCTGGAGCTGACCCCCTCACCACCACTCCCCGTTAGAATTGGCAAGGAGGAGAAAAACTTCATAACACTTTTAACCCCATCCGCCTACAATCCTAAGGAAACCTCAGTGGTTCAGCCTCCCCCCTCTGGTGGGCAGGTGTGAGTGCCACCGCCCCTCAACAGATGAAAGCACCAGTCTCGGGAGGACCTTGCCGGAGTTACCCCAAGGGGCCCAGACACATAGCTGGGCTGGAAATACCCACTTTGACCCTCTGCTTCCCGGACTGCCATAATCGTCCCCATAGGGACTGCTCCCTCTTCGACCCGGCGGGGCCAGCTCCTGCCTGCCGGCCCCAGAAGCCCCACAGTCGGCCCCACGGTCGGGAGCCCGCCCCGGGGGGCCCCGCCAGGCCCGCGGCCGGACATCAGGAAGGCAAAGTCCCCTTCCGGCCGCGCCCCGCGCCCGCCCGGCGCCCAGAACGCGCGGCCCGGCCGGCGCGGCGCACCTGGCGCAGCTCCTCGCGGCACACGGCGCAGTAACGCTGCTCGCACAGCACCCGCATCTTGGTGGAACAGCGGTAGCACACCGGGTGGTCGCAGCGGCCCAGCGCCGTAGCCTCCAGGTCCCCGCAGCACAGCACGCAGCTCCCGCCGCCCCGCTCGGGCACCGCCGCCGCCTCCAGGGCCGCGCGCCGCCCCTCGGCGCCCGCCGCCACCGTCACTGCCGCCGCCGCCGCCGCCATGGTCCGTGCTGCGGCCCCCTCCGGCCGGCGCGGCGCGGCGCGGCCTGGCTCCCGGCGGGCCCGCCCCTTCCGGGCGACGTCAGCGCCCCGCCCAGTAACGGCCCCGCCAGGCGGAAGCGCGAGCCGCCACTTCCGCCCTAGCAGGGCGCGGGAGGCCGGGGGTGCGAGCAGGACTGCGGGATGGCGCTGGGTGGGGGGCGGCCTTGGGGCCCGGGCGGGACCGCGAGAGGGGGCTCGGAGCCCGGGCTGGAAACTGGGGGCCCGGGCAGGACCGCGGGCTGGGGGCGGGGGGCGCGGTCCGCAGCGCGGCCCCCCTCCGCTGCCTCTGCCGGGCTGCCCGCCCGGTGAGACGCCGCGCCGCCAGGTAGCTTGGAATTTCAGAGCAACCACGCACCGCGCTCATTGTGGTTCCGGTGAGTACGCCCCTGTTGTGGGTAGGCCGTCTTTGTGTTGACATGCTACCCCGCGTTGATCTGAAATGCAGATTTAACCGCATGTCTTGCAGTTTATGTGCTAAATATAGCCGCCGTATCGGGAGCCCACCGTTTCTGACCAGCCAGACCGCTTGTATTTGCAGCGTACACGGGCCTGGTCACCAGGCGCACCCCTACCCCCCCGCCCGCCCCGGCCTCCCCAAATTAGACCTTCCTGCAAATCTTTATCAGAAAAGACTTTTTTGGTGACATCCTTTTCCAAGCCGGGGGCTATCTCTCCCGATCCTGATGGGAAAATCAGGCAGGGAACTTGCGTTCTTCACTGGGCACACCCAGCTGAGCTCGGGGGCTTGGCGCAGAAAAGCCTCAGGGCAGGTTTGCTGAATGGACGGTGGTGAATACTGGGCCTCAGGTCCCTGCAGGTAGGCTTCCTCCCTATCCTTGGGGGACAGGCACACTCCAGACCTCCCTTCTGCCATTAAAGGAGGCAAGTCAAATCTGAAGCCTTCTAGAAAAAGGCAGTGTGTTGTTGGGGAGCGAGCCTGGACTTTAGAATCAGACAGAAATGGGCTTGAAACCCCAGTTCAGCCACTTATTTGCTGGTGAACTTGGTTAGCTCACTGAACCCTTGACTTCCTCAATTGGAAAGTGGGCATCATCACACCAAGTGAATCTGGTGGACGGGCCAATGCACATGCCTTCTCACTGTCACACAACCCCACTAAATGACAGCAAAGGAGTAAAAGACTGCCAATCCACAAGTGCCAAGAGAAGAAGAAGGGAGGAGGCAGCTAGTGAAAGGTGTCAACAAACTGGAAGGACAGGAAGAGTGACTCACTTTATAAAGCATCCTTAAGACCTTTGGGGGGGCACCTGGGTGGCTCAGTCGTTAAGCGTCTGCATTCAGCTCAGGTCATGATCCCGGAGTCCAGGGATCGAGCCCCGCATCGGGCTCCCTGCTCCGCGGGAGGCCTGCTTCTCCCTCTTCCACTCCCCCTGCTTGTGTTCCCTCTTGCTGTGTCTCTGTCAAATAAATAAAATCTTAAGAAAAAAAAAAGGACCTTTGGGGGGAACCCTGATAAGAAGTTTCACTGAGGGTGAAGTGAGGCAGGGGACTGAAAACGAGTGCCTGCAAGTCAGTGCATGGAACCCGGCGACCTGGGCCCTCCTCCCCTGCCCTGACTTTTGTATCCAGTCCACGCCCCTCTCCCTTGCTTCCGTTCCAGAAACTGACCAGCTCCAGAGCAAAGCTTCACTGCCTGCCCCATTACAGAATGAAAAGCCATTCCTGCAGTGAAGCCCACTGCCTGGCAGAGTCATGTCCCCACAGAAAGAGCATCAGGTCTCATACATGGGGACAGATGGTCAGCCAAGGATCTCCAGACTCAGGAGGAAAGCCTGCAGTGTGAAAGATGGACCAAACTAAGCAGACCCAGGGAGCAAAAGGAAGCTTTAGAAAGAACTGTATTTGGGGTGCCTGGCTGGCTCAGTCGGTGGAGCACATGACTCTTGATCTTGGGGTGGTGAATTCCAGCCCCGTGTTGGGTGGGGAGCCTACCTTAGGAAAAGGAAAAAAGAGCTGTATTTGATATTCCCAGAAAAGATGCTGCTTCCGTGAAATGAGAATAGGATGCCTTGAATAATAACAAGCACAAAATAATCAGAACAAGAAAGGGCTCTTAGAAATCAAAAACATAAGTAAAAATTCAAGAGCAAATTGGGAAGATACAGTTGAAATCTCCCAGCAGGCAGACACAGACAGAAAATAAAGAAGCTGGAACTCTGAATCTAGAAGGTGCAGTACCTAATTAATAGGAATGTCAGAGAGAACAGAGAAAGTGGAGAGGTGCAAATTATCCAAGAACTAATAAGACAGTACGGGCTATCACTGAAGGACCTGAGTCTTCACACTGAAAGGAAGGGCCCAGCCATGGAAGAAAGGCCCTCAGCAAGTGACATCATCCTGGCGTACGGCGGACAGGTTTAGGGAGGAGGGGGTGAGGAGGGAGAAGATCCTAGAAGAGGGATGAGAATAGGACTTTACTCCGGGAACACTGGAAGCCAGAGATTCCCTCAAATTTCTGAAGGAGTGGGATATCCATCCACAAACTCTACAACCAGAAAATCTTTCCATTAGGCATAAAGACACTGTCATAAAAGGGACAAATTATTTAGGTCCCATGTCCCCATTCACATGAAACTACCAGATCGTTCGTGTCTCCAAAATGTTAGGGAGTACCAGTTGGAAGATGGCCTGGCATCCAGAAAATGAGTTCCAATCCAGACAAGAGCCAAAGCAGAGCGTGGGATGATGCCCATGTGGAGGCGCCAACGTGGATGTGTGGGAAAAGGGGGTGTGCAGGGGAGTAGGAGGCCACCATCTCCCACAGGGAGGCTCCAGAGCAGACATGGAACTGATCAGGGTGCCCTCGCGTGCTTGAGAATCTGGAAAAGGTACTGCGAGGAACTCGACCTATCTCTCAGAACCTTTGGGGGGAAAATAGCACAATAAGTATGTAAAAAAAGCAATCAGAGAGATAGGAAATGTAATCGTAGTACATTTAGCAGAGAACAATATTTACGCAGCCGTAACAACATAAACGCTGGCTAGTGAGTTAACCAAAATTTGTGACAATTCTAGGATGGAGAGGGTGTGAGAGGGCCAAAGCTTCATCTAAATTTGTAGGAAGCCTTCTGGTGCTGCCTAAAACATAAATCACAAATTGTCTGTTTATAATCTCAGGGTCTGTGGTTCTCAATTGGGGGTGGTTTTACCCCCAGAGACATTTGTGGTGGTCACAGCAGAGTGGGAGCATTACTGACACCTAGCAGGTCATTAGTTTCCCGTGGCCACTGTTAAAAAATGACCACAAACTTTGCGGCTTCAAACAACACAGATGTATTATCTTACAGTTAGGAAATTTGGAAGTTTGAAACAGGTCTCCCTGGGATAAAACTAAGGTGCAGGTGGGGTGCACGCCTTCGGGTGAGAATCCATCTCCTCTCCAGCTGTAGAGGCCCCCTCTTTCATCTGCACGGTGCACCCTGCCAGGCTCATCCTTGTCACCTCTCCTCCTCCAAAGCCGCCTCCTTCCACACTTACCCCACGTGGTGGCGCTGGGCCCACCTGCATAATTCAGGACCATCTGCTTCCATTAAGGTCCGCTGATGAGAATCCCTAATTTCATCTGCAACTTCGATCGCCGCCCCCCCCCCCCCCCGCCGGCTTACCGCGTCAAGTAGGTGTGCACAGGTTCCAGGATATCTGGGGCACATCTTGGGCAGGGGCTGTTAACTCTGCCTGTACAGGTGAGTGACGGCCAGGGATGCTGCTGACCGTCCACCGCAGCACAGGACGCCCCCACATGTCGGTGCGGCTGAGGGTAGGCACCCTGACGAGGTCATAAGTTATGCTGGGGGCTTCTGGCTGGGGCGCGGGCGGGGGTGGGTTCAAAGGGAGCTTTAAAGGGAGCTCCCCGGGAGCTGAACTCTGCTCTCTTGTTCTGGGCCGTGGGCATGCAGATGTATGCATACGTAAAAACAAATGCACTTGTGAAGACGAGATGTGCACGCTACTCAGGGTGCATTAGTTACGGCTTCTTAAAAAGACCACAGATTTTTGGAATAGTTAAGTTTATGGTTTTTAAGTAGGGGGTAAATACCAGAAGAAATAGCTGAAGGACCTGGAAGCTGTTGCCTCTGGAGAGCATGACTGGGATGCGAAAGGGTGGGTCAGGGAGTTTGAAGTTCTTCCTTATGCTAGCATTATATTAATCATGTAAATTACCTCAATAGAAACAGTTTTTAAAAAAGAAGACAAAACAGGGTGCCTGGGTGGCTCAGTTGGTTAAGCGACTGCCTTCAGCTCAGGTCATGATCCCAGAGTCCCGGGATCGAGTCCCACATCAGGCTCCCTGCTCAGCAAGGAGCCTGCTTCTCCCTCTGACCCTCCCCCCTCTCATGTACTCTCTCTCTCTCATTCTTGCTCTCTCAAATAAATAAATCTTTAAAAAAAAAAAAAAAGACAAAACAGATTTGCTCAGTCACTGCGTCCTTAGATGGAGTCCTTGTTGGGGCCAGGCTCTGAGTGGTCCTGGCCCACAGGCAGCCTGGTGCCGTTGGAGAAAGGTGGTGTGCAGGCAGCCCAAAGCCATGCTCCCCTGGTTTCTAGGAGGATGTTGGGTGGATGAAGGGAGAGGTGAGTCACAGAAAGGAGAGTCAGCGCTCATGGGCCCGTCACCTCCTCCCCTCCTCCCCTCCTCCCAGAGTGGAGCTTTGGCTCCAGACCCCTGCAGTGGGGGGAGGGGGGAGGCCCTTGTCACTGGACCCCTGGGCTCCGGGCTGGGCGGGGCTCAGAGCCCCTCCTCTGTACCCCACATTGGGAGTTCCCAGGACTGTGGTGTGCTTTGCTCCCCCAACCCGGCCCTGGGCTCCCTCCCCACGTGCCTTCTGCACAGTCATCCAGCAGGAGTCCCGCTCCATCTCACTGGGGCCTTCATCATCCCCTGCACTTCACAGCCATAAACAAGCAAGACGGGTATCATGCAGGGTATTTTCTTTAACACTGTTTTGGAGACTCATCCGTGCTGGTATCTGTAGCTCTATTTCAGTGTTCTAACGGCTCCAGACCCCGTTACCACCTAGCCGCAAGTGATCCTACTGGGCCATCTCCAGGGGGTGTCGGACTCTCCCTCGCTGAACTGGGTGGGGTGGGGGGCTCCAGGTAGGTTTCTCCCCCCCGCCCCCACCAAGTACTCTTAGCCCAGAGGATGTGCAGCGTCAGGGGACCTGGTGGCCCACATCGTGCTGCGCTGCCCACCCACTGCACACTCCAGGCGGCTCTCCAGGCCAAGGGCCCCCCTGGGGTGGCTGCTTTCCACACGGCTCCGGGGTCCCTGTGGTCCTCCAGGCCCCTCCAGGTGCACCCAAAACTCCCTCTCCATCCCCTACCTCACCAGTCCCTGCGCCAGTCACCCCTCCATCAAAGTGTTTTTACTGACAGCTTAGGAGGCTGGGTACAGTAGCAGCAGGGGATGGTAGCCTGACCATGTTTTGAGCAGCTACCATGTGCCAGGCATAATGCCAAGACCCGTGCCTGGATTAATGCTCACATTAAGCTGAGGAGGGGCTCTTATCATCCCAGTTTGCAAGTGAAGAAACTGAGACAGGAGAGGTTGAGGTGCACACCCCCCGCATTCCCACCACCAAGCACAGGGCGCTGCGCTCGGCTCACTTCTCCCCGTTCCACAGGGCCTTTGAAGGGAGGGCTGCCATTGCTTCTAACTGTCCCCCCCCAGTGCTCCCTGCAACCAAGTTGGGCCCCTCCTGCCTTAGAGGTGCATCCTCTGTACTCCCAGCCCCTCTGTGGCCCCTCGATAGGGAGACTCGGGAGGAAGGACTTTGTTCCCTTCACTCCCAGAATCACGCCTTCCCTTTTGCTGCAGAGACAGGCAGAGGGTGAGGGGCAGTTTCCATGGAGAACTGCAGTTCAGGTCCCCAAACTGGTGCTATCAGGCTGGGGGGTCTAGGTCGGACCCCACTTGCACCACTGCTTACCCAACAGGTGATCTGAACAAATCCATTTTCCTTGTGCCTTACTTCATTGATAAAGGAGGTCAATAATCGTCCACTTTAGGGCACCTGGCGGGCATGCGACTCTCAATCTTGGACTTCTGAGTTCAAGCCCCATGTTGGGTATAGAGATTACTTTAAATTTAAAAAATTTTTTATCGGGGTGCCTGGGTGGCTCAGATAGTGAGGCGTCTGCCTTTGGCTCAGATCATGATCTGAGTCGGCTTCTCCCTCTGCCTCTCCCCTGCTTGTGCTGTTTCTCTGTCTTTCAAATGAATAAATAAAATCTTATAAAAAAATAAAAAGATCAAAAGTCCTAGAAAGGGCTTTCATTAAAATAAATTTTTTATTTTATTTTTTAATTTTTTAAAAGTATTTATTTAGGGGCACCTAGGTGGCTCAGTTGGTTAAGTGACTGTCTTCGGCTCAGGTCATGATCCTGGAGTCTCGGGATCGAGTCCCACATCAGGCTCCCTGCTCGGCAGGGAGTCTGCTTCTCCCTTTGACCCTCTTCCCTCTCGTGCTCTGTATCTCTCATTCTCTCAAATAAATAAATAAAATCTTAAAATAAAAAATAAAAAGTATTTATTTATTTGACAGAGAGAGACATAGCAAGAGGGAACACAAGCAGGGGCAGTGGGAGAGGGAGAAGCCAGCTTCCCGCTGAGCAGGGAGCCCAATGTGGGGCTCGATCCCAGGACCCTGGGATCATGAACAGAGCCGAAGGCAGACACTCAACGACTGAGCCACCCAGGCACACTTTATTTTTTTTTTTTAATATTTTATTTATTTATTTGACAGAGAGATACAGCAAGAGAGGGAACATAAGCAGGGGGAGTGGGAGAGGGAGAAGCAGGCTTCCCGCTGAGCAGGGAGCCCAACGTTGGGCTCAATCGCAGGACCCTGGGATCATGACCTGAGTCAAAGGCAGACGCCTAAAGACAGACACCCTGGCGCCCCCTTTAAAAAAAATTTTTTTAAATAGTTTCAAAAACTGACGCTTAATGACTGAGCCACCCAGGTGCCCCTAAAATTTTTTCAAAAGATTTTTATTTGAGAGAGTGAGCGAGAGAGAGAGAGAGAGAGAGAGTGCACACACAAGCCGGGGAAGAGGCAGAGGGAGGGAGAAGCAGACGTCCTGCTGAGCAGGGAGCCCGATGCCGGAGCTAAATCCCAAGACCCTGAGATCATGACCTGAGCCAAAGGCAGACGCTGAATGACTGAGCCACCCAGGCGCCCCTCCAAAATCTTTTTTTTTTTTTTAAATTATCCCACTTCGTGGCATTGTTTGGAGATCAAAATAAGACATTTCAGGGATGCCTGGGTGGCTCAGTAGGTGAAACGTCCGCCTTTGGCTCAGGTCATGATCCCAGGGTCCTGGGGTCGAGTCCCGTGTCGGGCTCCTTGCTCAGCAGGGTGCCTGCTTCTCCCTCTGCCTGCTCTGTCTGCTGCTACCCCTGCTTGTGTGCTCCCCCCTGCCCCGCCGCCCTGGCTTCTTTCTCTCTCTGAGAAATAAAATCTTTTTAAAAAAGGAAGAAGACATTTCAGGATCCCTGGTGTCTGGGATCAAGAAAATGTTCCATGAGTGGTGTGGTTGCTGGGGGTGGGATGAGGCCTGATTATTTGGGGGTTTACATCCTTCCTGGGTTGGGGCTCAGGCAAGAATGGGTCAGGCTCTGCCCTCTGGAAGGGGTTGTTAAACACATACAGCCACAGACAAATATTCCAGGAGACTATTCAGATGAGGGCCATGTAGGCAGGATCCGGAGTGATGAGTGCAAGTCTGCTGGGTTGGGAAGGAAGGGAAGGATGTTCTGAGGACAGAAACAGAGGCGGGCAGAATCACAGTTTGTTGGGTAAGGCAGAAAGATGAAAACTGGCCAGAGACAGTGGTCTTGGGGGGGATCACAACCAGAGAGTAGCCTGGAGGTCCACAGGGCCTTCTCCTGCCCAGGCCAGGGCTGGGGTAAGAGGAGGGGTTTACTTTTTATTCTGGAAGCCATGGGAAACCACTAAGCATCTCAGGGAGGGCTCCATGTGACCAAGTTTGTGGTTGCAACCATCCAGCCACAGTGGGGAAGTGGGTTGGAGGGCTCCCACCTGCTAGTGTGGGAGAGGGTGGGAGGGGTGGGGGGACAAGAGACAGCCCTCAGGAGAGGAGATACACAGAGGGTTCTTGAATGATACAGAGGACCCCCACCAGTTAGCGCTTCTGACCCCACTAGGGTTCTTATAGCCCCCCCAGTCAACTTTGCTGGTGCCCAGCCTGCAAGAGCTCCCTTTGCCCATGTCCGCCCATCTCCTCAGTTCTTCTTTGAGGGGGAGCAGGGGCGCTCCCAGCGGAGCGTCAAGATGAGCTCTAGGTGAAGGCCCGCCCACTCAGAGAAGATACTCCAATAACCCACGCCCCTGTCGCAGCAGCCTGGGCCCCTCTTCCCTCTTCATCCCTCCCCCTACCTTTTGGGAGCCGAGCGAGTACCGCGGGGGCGAGCGGGGCGGGGCTAGCGAGCAGTTATAAGCTGGCCCCGCGGCGCTGCGCCCCCGACGCTCCGGCTCCCCGACGCCGCAGTCCCGCAGCGCGCCCAGCCCCAGCTGAGTTAGCTCCTGGCCTGCCCCGCCGGGCGGCCGTCAACCTGAGCACCCTGGCGCGGGGTACGGGCGTTCGGGGCCCTGCGGGCCGGCCGGTGCTCGCATTGTTGCTGCTCCTGGCGCTGCCCGCTGGCGCCTGGTACAAGCACGTGGCGAGTCCCCGCTACCACACAGTGGGCCGCGCCGCGGGCTTGCTCATGGGGCTGCGCAGCTCGCCCTACAAGTGGCGCCGAGCGCTGCGCCCCGCTGCTGGGTCCCTCGCCTGGGACACCCAGGGCCTGGGCGCGTCCCCCCAGGGGCTATCTGCCAAAGACACCCTCTCTCCGGCGCCCGTCCCCCGCGGTGCTCTCCTGCTGTCCTCGGGGGTTCGGGAACTGTTGGAGATGGGACGCAGGTACTCTCGCGCAGGGCTCGAACTGCGGGCGCAAACTGCGCCGCCCGAGCCCGAACTGGAGCCGCGGCTGGGCGCCCATTCCTGGACCTCCGTGAAGCGGGACAGGTACGTGGGGAGAAAAAGGGAGCCGGGACAGCAGCGGGTGGAGGATGTCTGGAGAGATCTGGGCCCGGAGCCCACGCCCGCGTGCCCACGAGACACCCTAGGACCATCCTATTTCTCACTTCTTGCCCAGAAAGGCTTTCCAGGAGCTTCCTACCCTTCCAGGCTTGGCGGGGGTGGGGGGGGTGGGGGGGTGGGGGGGGAGGTAAGGGTTAGTGGAGGGCTCACAGACTTCTCCCCAAGGTCCTGCTCTGTTCTTTCTAGAGCCTTCAGAGTGTATCCTGTTCAGCCATGGTCTGCGCAGTGAACCACCTTCGCCGGCCCCCACCTCTCCCCAGGGCCATCCTGAACGCAGCCCTTGCTGGTGACGCCCCCTCATCTGACCCAGGAGTCTACTCCTCCTGCTGGGCGAACAGCTCTGGCCAGGCCAGGTGGTCTGGTCAATAAAAGCTGCCTGGTTCATGCGTTCCCGTGTGTGACCCTTTTCCTCCACGCTGTATACTTGGCATCTAGCTTTGGGGTGTAAACAGCTGCATTCACACCCTGCCAGTTACAGGAGCCCTCTCCCTGGCCAGGGGATGCCCCCTCCTAACCATCTCGATCTGTAAGTCCTTGTGGAGGGGGAGAGGGGACAGAGGCAGAGACACTGCCGGGGACTAGGTCCCCTTCCTTCTCTGCCAGTACTGCCCCTCCTGTTCTGGGGTGGGGTCATCAGACCAGGTCCCAGGGTCCCACAGGAGAGGAGAGGTCTCATGGGAGGTAGGCACAAGTCAGACCTTGGGTCCCACTGCCATCCACCAGAGAGAGGAAAACAACTCATACCCTACTAGCTGAGCCAGAGCTCCCACCCCAGCCTCCCGGGAGCCCCAGAGTGCCCCCTCACTATGCTTCCTGACCAGGCTGGGGAGAATGTCTTCCTTAAGGGACCTTAAGACCAGCAGCCTACCCAGCCTTTCCCACGTCTCCCAGGATTCATTTCAAACCTGATCTCTTTCACCCCCCTCCTTCCCTCAGCCAATGGCTTCTGGAGAGGAAGTGAGAACCCCTGGCCCCCTACTTCAAGGTCCTGCTCCTCTTCTAGGGAGGAAGGGCCCCTTGCCTCCTCAGAGACCCTTCCACCTCTAATCCCCTCTGCATCTTCAGTTATTGGCTCCAACCCCCACGTAAATATGCTCTGCTGTCATGAATAAGGACCCCTGGGCCCCCTCATAGCTCCTGCTCACAATTGTGTGGGCCCCTCCACCCTTCTGCCTCCTCGTCAACCCTCTTCGGTGTGGGCTCTGACTCCCACAACTGTCCTGGGCCTCGATGCGACTAGTCACTGTGCCCTGATGCTGTCTGCCCTTGGAGCCCTCCCTTGGCCATGTGGCAAGGCCTTCCATTACGGCACCCAGCCATGACCAGAGGAGGGGTGGTCCCATGCCCGTCGAGCTGGCTAGCTTTGAGATACTCACTTGGAACCAGCCCCCACATTCTCCTTGGCCTCTGGAAGCCCCCATCTCTCCTTACTGGCAATTCCTGCCCATCTCCTGGGTGCACCCTTCTCCCCATGTTGTCACCTAATGTGGGTGCTCTTTTTTCTCCACCCTCCCAATTCTTACTGACCCCTGACTATATTGACTCTGTTTCCAAATCTGCACTGAGGGAAGGGGTGGCCACAGACTCCTCAGGTCAGCCCATTCGCTGCACTCCAAGTCCATTCCTCCTCCTGCTTCTTGCCAAACTCGGCCTTTCAAAGCATGGGCGTCCTGATGACCTAACTTCCAGAGCACAACACCTCACTCTCCACCACCGATGGCACAAAAATCCACGTTCCGGGGTTGGGCCCCAGGGCTGCTCTGTCCCCCAGTCTCATTGCTCCTTCCCCTCCCCCACACAGACTGCAGGACCTGTGGGCAGATTCCAGAACGGCCCCATGGTCCACCCAGAAAAAGGACTCCAGGGCCTCAGGCCATGTTAAATGCCCTCCTCAGGGCTGCACCAGCCCTAGACCCGCCCTTACCCAGGCATATAAATCTGTTTCCAGGGGTCTAATGTTTCTCCAGTGCTCACCAGAGCCGGGTGCCAAGTGGTCTGCATATGTTTGGTCACAAGTGCTGGACACTTGGCGGGGCGCTGGATTTCACGTTGCCTGGAGGTACCCCAGTCCAGGGAGATTGGTGCCAGGTCCAAGGCGAAAGAGCAGTGCTGATTAGGGACTTGGCAGAGGCCCGGCTTCTCTGCCTACCACCTTCATGGCACCCCTGTGCCCCTGCAGTGCAAGCAGCCCCAAGGCGCCGGCCTCAGCCGCCACCCCCACCCAGCAGGGCAAGGCTGTACCGCGTCGGGGCCAGAGGGGCGGGGCCTGGGCCAGCCCCTCGGACGAAGCAATCCCACCGCGAGCCGGCAGGCGGCGCTGCGCGGCTGCTCTTCAGGGCTGCAGCCCCAGCCGGCGCCTGCGGCGGTGGGAGGGGCCAGGCGCGGGGCGCGGGCGGGCCCAGAGCTGGTGGGCGGGTTCCTGCGCCATCTCCCTCCGGTGGTCCGCGCCCTTCTCCCCTTCTCTCCCTCTCGGCTCCGGGTGTCGTGTTCTCATCTCTCTTTACGTCGCGCTGGTCCCGCCTGCTCCAGTTTCGGGCTCTGAAGAGAGGCCTGGGGTAGTCTGAGGGAGGAAGCCGTAAGCGAGGCCCGATCATCCCGTGGGGCCATTAATGCCCATTAGGGAGGCGGCGCCGGTCCGGGAAGCTCCGGGCCATTACCCGGGCGTCCGACTAATGGCTCCACCCCACAGACGGGCCCCCAAACCTTCCCCTGGAGGGTGACCAGGCCTCTATCCACTGCCACGCCCCAGAGTCCCCGCCCAGGCCCAGGCCCCGCCCATCGCTGGGGAAGTTGTAGCTGGGAGGGTAGGTTCAAAGCTCAGAGGACAGCCCCCTCCCCACCACTGGAGCCCCGGGCCAACCCCCACCCTAGGTGGACCCTCAGATAGCCCAGGAGAGGGAAGCCCCGAAAGGTCTACTTCCCATCTGTCTCAAAGCCTGTGTAGCAAGGTGGCAGCGAGGGCGTCGGGGGTGGGGGTGGGGATCACCTCCCACCTGGCCTCCCCGCCTGCAGCTGGCCTCGCTGATCACCTCTTCTGGCCCACTCCCCGGCGACCCCAAACAGCTTACAGCCCCTGAGCACCTTTCGGTCCGCTCTTCTGGGTCGTTGTTCATGCTGTTCTCTTGGCCTGTTTCTCTGCCTCCCACTTCTGTCTCAGCCCGAGGCCCGAGGCTGAAGGAAGGGCGCCGGCGAGTCTGCCCAGGAGAGCAGCTGGGTTAGCTTTCCCTGCCTCTTTGTTCGTCGGGGCCCCATACTTACCCTGTTCCCTCTCACTCATTCCTGCTCCCCCTTTGGAATTTACCTGCACTTCTTCCGAGCTGCCTTTATTCTGTGGCTGTTACCCACCCCCTTTATTACTCTCTGATGTTGCCTTTGTTACTCTGTTACTTTCCTGGTATTTCAGCTCCTTTTTTTGCTTTGGAGCCTCCTTTGTTAGGCTGTCATGCAGTGTTCTGGCCCCTGGCTGTGACCACATGCCCATGGTTACCCCTCCCTCCAGTGGTGTTCTGTTCTCCCCTGTCTTTACTGACTGGTTGAGGCTGATCCTGCGAGTGTCTGTCCTATGGAGGGGGGAGGAGATCTCCAGGCCTCCCGACCCACACCCAGAGGACCAGGGGCTCCTACCTTCTCTACCCCCAGCCTGGGGGTCTCCCATCCAGCTACCTCCCTAGACTCTGGTATGGCCCCATGCCACAGCCTGGCAGGTCCTGGCTGGTCCTGGTTGCTATGGGGTGACCCCTAAATCCCACCTGGGGTGGTATATGATGGACCGCACCCATCCTCACAGCCTCCAGGAGCAGCAGCACCAGGCTGGGTTCAGAGAGGCCGTCACAGGCCAGACAGGCAGCCTCTGGACAGGCAAACAGACAGATCGAGGTGGCCAGCTAGGCAGGAACCTATGGCAGCATCAGCCAGGAACTTAGAGGTGGGGGTAGGGAAGCAGCCCTGCAGTTTTGGCCTAAGTGGCTTTTAGGGGCAGCAGCTGGGTGTGGACACCCAAGGGGCTGCAGCCCAGGAGGCTGCCCAGAGGAGAGCCCTGTGCTTGGGTGGGGGCTGGGCGCCCAGGCTAAGGGCACTGGAGAGGGGAGAAGGAGCAGCAAGGACGGGACCTGAGCCGAGCCTGCTTCTGCCCACATGGGGAACTGTCTGGGCTGGCTATGCCTGACCCCCAGGGACCAGGTATGTGCAGGGGGCTGGGCAGGCTGGGGAGGGGCAGGCTGAGAGGGAGCTCAGCTGTCTTCCTGTATCCAAGGCTGAGAAAGAGTTCCATGATAAAATGTGGACTTGGAATCTCACAGCAGTGCCTAAGAGGACCTGGGGAACCTTGCCTGGGTCTCGTTCCTCTCTAGAACTCAGTTTCTTGATCTGCAAAATGGCCTGAGCACCCTTGGGTTTTTCCAGATAAAGCGTACTCAGAGGCACAACAGAGCATAACCGATTTTCTCTTGTCATTCTTGGCTTGTTGGGGGAAGGGGCACTCATGCTGGGGATGGCCAGATGCTAGGGGAGAAGGATGGAGGGAAGGGTGGGCTGGGGCAGAGGGGCATCACAGGGGTCAGCTCATGGGAACAGCTTCTGTGAGCACTGATCCCAAGCCAGAGGTCAGAGGCCAAAGTCCTGGATACATTTCATTTCTGCCTGGGATGAGCAGGGGCACAAGTGAGGGGCCCTGGCAAAGAGAGAGGTATGTGTGTGGGGGGGGTTGTAATGTTTAATAGACATCCCCAGCACAGGTAGGCACAAACCATCTCCTGGGGAGGCCCAGGGAGCCCCTGTCACTGCCCTCAAGAATATAGGGGAGGGCTGCTGCCTTGTTACTTCCAAACTCCTCTTTTTGCCTCCTGGCCCGTCCTGGGATTCTGTTGGGCCAGGGCAGCTCCGGGTGCAGGAGAGATCCAGATACCGGGACAGCAGGGAGGTGGGGAGTGGGGGGGGGGGGGGGGGGGGGTGGAGGGTGTGTTCTCGAGGATGGTGGCCAGAGCTGTGTCCCTTGTTCTTACTCTCTGCCCCGGTGTGGGGTTCCTCCGCCTGAGGACCCTTTCTCCGAGGACACCGCCTCGGTGTCACGCATACAGTAGGTGCTCACTAAATGTTCCTGGGCTAGGAAGCAAAGACTCTTGCGCCAGGGAGGCTGCCCAGAGTCGGGGCGAGACAGAGGTGGTCCCTAGGCCCTAAGGCCTCCCCCCACCCCCCGGAATTGGCGGGGTGCCGAGGCCGGGCCACAGCCAGGACCAGCCAGGACTCGGGGCGGGGGCGGCCCCATGGAGGAGGCGGGGAAGGGGCGGGCGCGGGGGCGGTGCCAGAGCCGGAGCCCGAGCCTGAGCCCGAGCCCGAGGCGACGGGAGCCGAGCGGGAGCAGCCGAGGGCGCCGCCAGGTCCCCAGCGC